ATGTCTTTGAGATTGCTTCAGCCATTATCTTTGTAGGTTTCCTTACAAGAAATAAGTAGTGTTTTGTTAATGATGTGAATTTTTTTAAATGTTTCTAGCTCTTAATCTGAGTATGGATGTTTAAGGGTAAGTAAAAACTTACGTTCTTGCAAATATGTCTCAAATACTTACTTGTGGAGCTGCTGATTCATATATACTATAAACGAATGCTTGTGTCAAGTGGTTTTCCAGTGGGATTGATACTTGTGATGAACCGAAGAAATCATCCTAAACTACCTTGAACATTGGGAAGAAAACCAGATTGTTGTACAGAATTAGCTACAGAAATGGGCTTAAGGGGAGGAAAGCACATAAAGGTAGTAAAATAGGTATTCCATGCAGGGCATAAACATACAATTAAAGTGCGCAAATAGAATCTGGAATAAGGATAAGACAACAGGAAGCTCTTCTGGCCTGCTGAAGCTGAGAGACAGTGTGCACTGCTTTCTGGAGATCTGTGTGCTTCCCATCTGGTGACTGCCCAGACAAAACAGGAGAACCATCTGCCTTCCAGCTGGTCCGTCAGAAGGTGCCTACTGGGAGGCTCACGTGTTTGGTTGTGGAGCCTGTCAGTCCTTGCAGCCCAAAGATGGGACGTGAGGATCAACGAGGAAAGACAGAAAGAAGGGGGAAAGAAGGGAAAAGAGGAGTGCATACAGAGGGCTCTTCTGTTCCCTGTTAGAAGCTTTCTGTGTTGTCCACCTGTTTGTGTGAGGGGGCATCCTTCTCCTTTAAACAAGGAGTAATAGTATGAAACTAATACCCAATTTTGAAACCATCTAACTGTATGATCTTGCATCCATTTGTCTTAACCTGTGTTAATTAATAAGTGGAAATCAGCTTAAAGACAATACGCAGAAATCTCAAACTTGAATGCTGACTTCCCCCTGCTTTCCTGAAAGCATGTACAAAAGTTATTAAAAGAAATAGGATCTGAACACCGTTACTGAAAAGATTACTAGCAGCTAGACAAACAGTAGCTGCCTGTGATGGAGCAAGACAGAAATGGCATCTTGCAGATTTGACACAGTTTGCTATAAAATCAGAGGTATTTGCTGGGAAGTTCAAATTTGTTTTGTTTTATGGATTGCTTATTGGCTTCTTGTTACCTGCTTTAAACTTACTTGAAAACACTTCGATTCACAACAATGCTTAACATTCAGGAGACCTCCTAACTTTCGTTTCAAAGGCTTAGTCTCAGATTTTTTTGTTTGTTTTGCATAATGAGTCACTAAATCATAAGAACCAGAAGGATTTCTGTGAAAGTCGGCGCTTTCTGCTCTCTTTTCTGGTTCGGCACAGGAAGGGAAGAGCGAGTGGGGCAGCATCCGGCTGGGTCAAAGATAGCGGGAGAGGCGATGGGATGGAAGCCCTAAACCTCGCTAGGTGAAGGGACAGAGCCAGTTCAGTTCCTAATGCGGTTTACTAAGAACAGTAACTGTGTGGGTCCTTTGGCAGTCTTGGCAAGGGCCAAGGGTATTAACTCAGTGTGAGGATTGAAATAGAAATAGAGTTTTATTTTTAGCACTGGTCTCTTCAGGGCATATCGGAAACCTGATCAGCGAAGGGAAGTGCCGTCGTGCTCAGTGCAAGGGAGGTGCCACCGTACCTGCAAGGTTAGCATTACAGTGAGCTGGAAGGTGAATTTGGGAGAGTCTAGTGACTACTGTGGGAGGGGAAGCTCAGAATAGAAATGAGATTTAATTTGCCTCTAAGAATTTTTCTTCTCCAGGAAGTTTGCTGAATATGTCCATGAAGGCACCCCCCAGTAATACAGCATGTGACACAGGTTGTAGTGAAATGGTTGTTAACTGGTTTCCCGTTTTGGGGTATCCTGATTAATTACAGAAGTATTAGGCTTATTTTACAGAGATAGATTTTGTGGAAAATTCTTTTCAGTGAAGCTTCGCTCCATAGCAGACTGCTACATTCATTATGGAAAACTAGGCAAAAAAATTGTAGGCATCTGTGCCAAAGAATATTTAAATGTATTAAAAACTAAGGTTTCTTTTATCATATTAAAGCAAAATACAGTCTGTGGTTTTTTTAAAGGTTGTAGAGGTCAACAGTATGCAATTCATTTTCTCTTACTGTAGTAGAATGTGGATTTTGAAAATCACAGTTTCATATTGTAAATTTACCATAAAATTGACAAGGGCTGTAAAACCTGTCTGTTGACCTGAGACTTGGTGAAATTGAGCTCACGCATCTTGGGGATGCATCTAATGTGATGGCTGTTCCCCTTTTAATAATCTTTTGTTCAAATCCCCAGTTCACGTTCAATTCTAACTTTCTGTTAGTTAAATGGATTGCTTCTGTGTAACACGAAGGTGCGCTCCTAGTGCCTTTAAATCTGCTACTTTCAAATTTGTAAGCATGTTGCTTCTATGCAAATAATGAAGCATTGAAGCTGTGAACATAAATATTTTAACAGACATGCAAAAAACCCCTGACATACAAAATCCTTTGGCTAAGTATTTCTAGACTTTTTTCACCTCTGTGTCCTTTGCAAGCTGTACTGTTTCTGTAACCCACTTTCCTGTTCTATAGAACCTCAAGTAATTTTTTGCAACCTTAATTAATTAAGATGAACTAATTGCTTTGCAGATATGACACAGTTTTTTAAATGAGTGCCTTCTAATCATGAACATTATTCCAAGTGTTTGTTTATTTTTTAAATGAATAAATAAATACATAATCCCCTACATCCATTATGACTGGTTTGTTCAGCAAGATTTCTAATAATAAAATACTTCTGCAAGTAAAATAAGATGAATATTGTACCTGTTTAAATTGCAGCTTGCTTCTTACTCTAACTTTGTTAGACAAATTTGGATGTTTAAACTTTGAGAGTTGAGGCAAAATTCCAGTGTTGGTCTTAACTAAACCTGGTGTAGGTGTAGGGTGAATTTATTCTGTTGGGCTCATTTCCCAGCTGGGCTGGGCTGAATTGGCTCAGTCTGCCTGTACACCTCCTGTCTCTCCTCCCTTGCTGAGGGAGACTGAAGAAGAGATGCAACTGGGTTTCTGTATTTGCCTTAAGCTTCTTCAAATACCATTTAAAGTTATGTTCTTTCAGCCTTTGTGATCTAGAAAGGTGTCACTGGATATAAATGTCCTGGCTGTATATTTTTCCTCTCGGAAAAACCTGCAGTAGGCTGGTTTTCCTCAGGCTGTTTTCACATCTAATTGTGTTGAGAATATATAATTTTGTTGTTCTCCACTTGGTGAATTTTTGGGCTAGATTCCCAGCCACATGACGTGCAACAGTACAAAATCAGCTTTTTGACTGACTTTTGGTCTACATAGTGAAATTACAGTGAGCCCTTTTTTAGCTGTTCTCTTTGCCAGTTGGTAATCTTACCGTGTCGCAGTATATCTGGTCTCTGACTTGTTTGAAAAGAGCCTCAGAGATGTATGGGATGGAACTGAGGAAGACTTTTGTTTGGTGCTGCAATGAAAAATTAATTCAAGACATGGCAACAGCTGCGAGTGACAACTTAGAGTTGCTGAATAAGTATTGTAATCGGCATTTATCACCGACATCACATGGGATTAAACACTTTGAGGTGATTGTTCTTGGGCACAGCCATAGGGAGGGTGATTACCATGACACAACTAGTTGTCATGGCAATGCATGGAGGAGAGGGAGACTCTTCCTTCCTCCTTCGCATTCTGCACTACTCTATTAAAGGGAAGCCTGAGATCATTGGCAAAGCTCTCGTCTTCTTTTTTTAAATTCTACTATTCGTCCTTCATGTTATGGTTGAAATCACGGCACGTTGTGCATTACTTTTGTGGATTGCCTTTTCTGTTTAAAACAGGCGTTGACTTCTGCTTTCTCGTGTTTGGTTGATTGCGTGGTGTGTTCTCTTGCTTCCCCCAAAGTTGGGCTTTTCTGTAAGAACCAAGTTGATCTCCCCGTATCTGTCAGCCAAGGTGAGAACAAAGTGTCACTGCTGTAAGGACACTCCTGTTCAAAGCTGTGCAGGAAAATGGGGTAATGCTGTCTTACAGGTTGTCCTGCCTGCTTTCCCTGTAACGCTTCACCTTCACACCCTACAAGGTGATGGGTTAAAGTGAAAGTTGATACCAAAATAAAGAAAATCTGTGGAAAGTGATACAGTAAATTAGTCTCCCTGACTTCTTAATGGGTTTCGTTATTTAGCGAAATTAATATTGCTAGCATTTCATTTCTCTATAATTAACTGGGAGTCATAGCCCTGCAGTTCACTGTACTCTCCTTGGTGAAACTCGAATAAGGTGAATGGGTCTCTGCATAAATGCTCAAATTACTGTTTTGGAGTCTAATTTATAATTAAAATTTATTTTTGAAGATCCAGTTTTAGAAGTACGTTGTAAGCATCCCTTAATGGTTTACTTTATGCAGCTAATCCACTTTCTGTTTCATGTCATGAAATAATGAAAAGTATTCATAAACCTTTCCCTGCTTGGGCCTCGTCAGAATATGATTCTACCAGTGCTAATTGACTTACATACATGTGTTCAGCCCACAAATACACGTGCAGTAGCAAAGAGTTTTTATTGTTAAGTCAGACTCATAACTTTGCTAAATATTGGTTTTCTTCTTAGAAAAGTTATTAAATAAGTTTGATTTTTTTTTTTTTTTTTTGAAGCTCTATAGTTCTTTGCTACATATTTTAAAACATAAGGTTTTGTAACTGTTGTTTTTACATAGAAAAGCTGTGCCAGGTCTGAAGTCTCATTCGACAAGTTTTTTCTTCTTGAGCAGTCCCAAGTTAGTTATTTAATAAAAGGATCTGCAACTGTGCCAGGCTGAAGTCTCATTCGACAAGTTTTTTCTTCTTGAGCAGTCCCAAGTTAGTTATTTAATAAAAGAACCTCAAATAGAATTTTATGTATTTATTTTATACATTTAACATTTAAGGTTTTGGTTGTAGAGCTTTTCTTAATATGGAATGATTCTTTCTCACAGTTGCTGCAGCCCAAGCCATAGCAGAAGAAAGAAGAAGCCAAAGTGGCGTTAGCCCTATTGCAGTCCAGACCTCAATAAATATAAAGACAGCAACTAAACCAGGTATAATTATTGGTCATTGTTCTTAATGAAGTACTGGGTTCATAAGGGAGAGTTAGTAGGGAATGAATAAAACATCTTTTTAAAAGAAGTTTGATGCTCTTTCTTTAGGAGGCATCAGAGCATAAAGCACCTGGTAGATGGTTCATAGATTCATTGAAGGTCTGGTTTTGATGACAGACTTTTGCTCTTGACTCACTCAGAGTTCAGTTGGCGAAGTTGCCTATCTTTTCAGTGGGGCATAACAACAAAGGTAAATGATTTTTTTGTGCTCTGGTCAGGTTACCAGTTCACTTCTTGCTGAAATTCAAGTTTTTATACCTGCAAAGACTTAAAGCAGTCTTGGTTCTGCTTAGCCTGCAAACTAGCTATCCTACAGCGCTTTGAATTTGTCATGACGGGTGAACTATCTGTTCTCAGATTGAGTTTTCCTAGATTCCTGTAATTCTTGATCATAGGAATTAATATGTACAAGAATGAGGATCAGAGCTGAATTTGGAATAAGGGTATGTTCTCACACATCTGACTTCTGCTCAGGCTTTCTTTTGACTGTGCGCATTGGGCCTTTTAATCTTGTGTCTGCTTTCTGCTGCACCTATAAAAATAGTGGATTGGTTGTTGTGAGGGAAGGAAAGGGGGAAAAAGGAGGGTATTCAGCTTCCTAGGAATTTTTCAGATGACATCTTTAATCTCTGTACAGAGTGTGCAGTGCTCTGGTGGTATGTGTATCTCAGGAAGTTCCATTTCCTTTTGATAGTAAAGACTTTCAACTTTTTTATTTAAATTTGACTGTTGAGAGTAACTAACAATTATGTGTCTTCAATTTTTCTTTTGACAGTGATAGATGGTTCCACTCTGAGAACAGAAGAAAGACAAAGACTGGCCAGGGAGCGTAGAGAAGAGCGGGAAAAGCAACATGGTATTTTCATGTTTCATTTAAAATACAATTTCCTAAAATGTTTGTGATAAAGGAATAGCTTACTCTCTTACTTGTTGTTCAGTCACTTTTTTCAGCTTGCTGGGGACAAGAGACAAGGTCTGCTCTTCGTCTTGCATCAGTGACCATCTGTGAACTTGAATGGAGAAGTATTAGACTTGAGAGGAAAACATTCCAGAGATTTTTAGCTTCTTGAAGCTGTATGTCACGTCTGACCTTCCATTTCTTAGTGACCACCAAGCAAATTTAGCCAATTTCTTATTGAAAGCCTTAACAAAAACACTTCTGAAATGGTAACTTTTAGCTTAGAACTGCTTCCCGTAGCCCTGAAGACAGGTTTGGGGAACACTGATTCAGAGAAAGCCAAAAAAGATTTAGCTAGTTGAATGGCTTGATTGCCTTGAACACTGCTTCCCTTGTTTCCTAGCACACTGAAATGACTCCTGGATTGAAGTGTCAGCAGTATACGCTTTGTCTTAGCAAAGAATCTGAGACCTAGAGAAAAGCATAAAACTCTTGCCCAGCTTTATGCTGTTTGTGACGTGAATCAGTGCATGTATGTGCAGCAAGAGATGAAAGGGTCACAGTATGCCCTGCAGTCCTGTTTTTGGTCTCCCAGCTTGTGAGGAGTGGTGTCTCTCTGGCCTGTATGTTTGTTTCTTAACATAAAAGCAAAACCACACAGGAATGGGAATGATTGTGTTATCCTAACGTGGAGAGAGGATAGGACTAGGACACATTTAAATTCAAAAGTATTTGGGGGGCCTTATGTAGATACTGCCTGTGCATTGTTGGTATAATTATCTGGTCTCTCTGTTCATTTCATCTGTCTAGCCACAGAAAATACTTCCACTGTGTATTCAACCACTAGCTTTTTCTCACAGGACTTGAAACTTCCTGTTAAACTGCGCACAGCTGTTCCTACGTGGAGGCTGCGGAGAATAGTGACATAACTATTTTGAACTCGGATGCAATAACTGTGGAGTTTTCCCATCTTGTCACTCAGTGCTTTAAATCTTTTCATTATATCTTGTTCTAAAAAAATGAAAATTGCAACACAGAAAATTCTGCCCTTTGATATTCAACTTACTACTTACTTATAAAGACTTCACTATTATGATGGCAAGAAAAGTATATGCTTAATATAGGCTATATGCATGTCCTGACATTCCGGTCTAGACAGTAAAGTCTAATAGCAGGGAAGGTTGTAGTTCCTGCCCAACATGGGGACAGGATTAAAGACACCTCTGTTGCCATGTACAGTGTCATCCAGCACTGCAAGCTAATGTTGCTGTATGTTTTAGCTTTAAGTGGTGATAATTTTGCTTGGTAGTCTCTTGCCTCTAAGTTGCGTTGTAATGTCAATGAATAATTAAGTTTTGATTTTAATTTTTCCTTAAAAATTTACAGCTGCCAAAGAGACACAAATCCTTGAAAAGGAGAGAAAAGCAAAACTCCAGTATGAAAAACAGTTAGAAGAAAGGCAGAGAAAGCTAAAAGAACAGAAGCAGAAAGAGGAACAACGGAGGGCAGCAGTAGAAGAAAAGAGAAAACAAAAAATAGAGGAGGAAAAGGTACTACACATCAAAGTTATATAGTTTTAAAGAAACTCCTACATTGTTTTCCAACATTACCGTGCTCTGAAGTGGTGTGAAATAGAAAGTTACGTAAATGGTGAATGTATTAGAACATAAAAATATTTTCCACATCTGTATGGTGGGCTATATAGACACATGTCCTCCTTCCCCATCCCAGGCCTAGCTTTAACTATCCCCGAGGCACTCAGGACTTTAGGAGCTGTGGTTGCTGCTTGGCCACTGTTTGTTTTTTTTTTTCACATGAGCAAAAACCCCACCCCATATTCCTAGATTTCTAGATTCCTTTCAGTGCACTTTGTAGATCCTGTTTGTAAATCAGCATGGGTGACAGGTCTTAGACTTCCCTTAATTCTGTGTCTTGCTTCCTGGGAGCCCCACTGTGGCCTAAGAGACTCACGTTCTTTCAGTTCTTCTACATTACAGTTTGTTACTATATGTTGTGCCGTTGATAATGTTACCTGTGTAGTTACCATTTGCTGCTTTGAGCTGTGTATTGACTGTTCTTACTTGACTCTTTGCCTTTGCTTTGACTGCACATGGACCAGTGGAGCAGTATCTGAGTTGCGGAGTTTGTTGCAAGATTGATGGAAGCTGAAAGTAGAAATAAATATATGAAGTTATGCCATCCGCTTTGAAGAGTAGCTCTGCTAGTGCATATTAAATGTGATGCAAGTTCTGAAAGGGTTCATTTCCAGGGTGTCAGCAGTAAAGGCATGACACACACGTGCTTTCATAAGCTAGTTGTAAGAACTTGCTGTGGGTCATTGATGAAGAGCATGTAAGCCTGGCTGGCTGTTCCCTTGGAGTCCAGCCATTGTTACGTTGTTCTAGCAATCCATTGTTTTTACCCTTTTTGACTGGCAGTATGCTACAGTGGTGTTTGGTTATCTGTAATCAACTTCTGGGTGTGTTCAGATTGATATTCCATTTGAACTTCATGGAATAGTTTGCATTGCTGAAGAAAAACAGAAATGTTTGGGTGGGCCTTGGCTGCAGTCCAGTGCAGTATCATCTCTTTAAGCAACTACTTGAAGCAAAAAGCATCCCTTGTGCTTCAAGAGGTGTTGCCCCTAAGCCTCTAGGACATTTACTCATGTAATTTTGAGGATGGTGGATATGTTTTAAGTGGCCACTGGGGTGAATAATCAAGGAAGACAAGGACTTGCCGATGAGTGTTTGGTGTTAACCTTGTCTCTTACTTGGTCCCTGGAGGAAGATGACCTTGTACATAGAGTTATACATGAAGAATCCGGCAGGTGGGAAAATAGTGTGCACTTGACCTGTAAACCTTGCTTTCAACCAGAAAGTGAAAACAGATCTTGACTTTTGTACTCTGACATTAGAAAATAATCACTTTTAAAGATGCTAAGCTATCTTAGGGCAATATTTGCCAGCAAGATATCATCTACTCTTGTAAATTTAGTAGATAGAAGTGCATCAAAAAATACGTAGTCTCCAACATTCTTGTTTGGTACTTCAGCCAAGTCTCCTTTAGTTAATCACCTTCCTTAGATAAAGTAGAAGCAGCAGCACAATAGCAAATACTGTGGAAAAATAAGTGGTTCTCTGCCTAAGAGAGTCTTGAAGACAGCTAGCCATGGCTAGGGTTGAGATACCTGTCTTCTCGCATCATCTACAGATTACATAATGTCTGGGTACTTCGGCACCTTAGGTAAACTCTAGTTCAGGTTTCTTTAACAGAGGGGAAGCTAAGCTTTATATTTCAAACAAAAACTTTTAATTTTATCTTTTGTCAGTGAACAGAATCCTTCCTTCCAAGTTTACTTTGTCTGTTATGCATTGCGACTTTTTTAGTTTGTGTTGTGAAATGGTGTTGAAAGAAGGTGAAAGTCTTGTGCCCTCAAGAGGGAGAAATGTTTGGATAATGAGTCCCTTTGGCATCTTACTGCAATGTATCAGCGGTAAATACTGCTTCAAAAGATCACTTGGGATATGACTATTCCAGAAGAGAAATCTGTTGTTGACACTTGTATGGAAACCTGGCTGATTATGGCGAAGAAAGAGTCTAGCATGGTTACAGTTCATCTTTATGCACAAGAGCTAAAGTTCCCACGTTAGCAGTTACTGGTCCTGGAGGCAGAAGAGAAAGCTTCTTTCAGTCCTTTGTCCTGTCAGCAGTGGTTGCTGCGGTCTGGAGTTGATAGGTCTTTTTTGTAGTTTTGCCTTCATGTCTTGCTATTTCTGGCTTCGTTGTATCTCTATTAATGCCAGTATCTGTTAAGACTTGGGTCAGTGTTTGTGTAGTTCTCTGAAAATACAAATAATCTTATACTTGGTATTTTATAATGGAGAATTTTTAGCACCTTTTAGAAATAACTTCAAAATATGACTAGTTTAAAGGGTAAGCAATTATTTTTGCTCAGTTTGGGGTTCATGTCTATTCAGAAAATAAGTAGTGCTGTTTACTGAATAGGAAATCTGTTTGGTGGCTATTTTAAGTAAAGAGTAGAATAGATTATCTGTGCTTTAGTTCAACCTAATCATGTTTGCAGTGTTTTAGAAACCATTAATTGCCCTTAACATTCTTGGCATGATAGTTTTTGTAACAAAAGCTTGTTATCAGGCAGTATAGGTAAAACAGATTTTAAATCATACTGGGGGGGGGGAATCTGTATTGTCTTCTGGCATAGCTGTGCTTTATAGTTACATAGCTTCATAGAGGTGTTGTTTGATGATAGGAGCGATATGAAGCAGTTATGCATCGTACCTTGGAACGGAATCAGCGACTGGAAACACGACAGAAGAGATGGTCATGGGGAGGGTCTGTAACTCCAGATTCAGAGAGCAAAACTGGTGAGTAGCACCTTTTCTAGCATGGCTAAAATCACAGAATATTATGTATGAACACTGGCAGGTGCAGCAGTATTCATAGGGACCTGGGCACTCTTTCCTATCTTGGATCTTACAGCAGGATCTATGGGTAGCTCTTGGGGAAAGATTCATATCCGTACTTGCCCTGAAATGCTGCTCAGACTTAGAGCTATTTTTGACTTTGGGAAGAGCGAGAGAGAAGCCACATGGGAAATACAACACCTGGCAGCATTGCATCGCCAGCCCCCAACCATCAGATAAGGGGAATTGTAATGTATAATGCTAAAATAATTCTGAGTCCTTCAAATGCAGTACATGTAATGGTGTGCTAAGACTGATGATAAACAGAACAAAAAAACCAGTTGTACTGTAATACTACATCTAAAATGTTTTAAACGCACCCTTAGAGTTACAGAATGCTAACTGATTATTTGAACGACCAGTAATGGGTGAGGAGATGCAGTGGGCAGTGTCCAAGCTTCCTGGAGAATAGGTTCTATTCTAGATTAGGTGATGCATTTTAATGCTCTTTAATTAGACCTCAGATTGTTTCCTGTTTCACACAATTAACTGTTTCTGCTTGCAAACATTCTGAAATCAGACCAGCAAATCAGGATTGCAGTAGAAGGGATCTTTTCATGCACTACCTAACTGGAAGACCCCGCCAATAAGTTACTTAACATAAGTTACTGTCCAGGAATAAAATAAAACAAAAAATGCTTCAATTCAGCCTATCTTCTGAATTGGTAGAATTGTACTGTCGTCTTCTGTCACCTTGAGTGTTGACTTTTAAGGGTTTATTTATAACATGTTTGAAAGTGCTTTGATATAAATTATCATTATGATATCCAGCTTCCCCATTTTTTGGGTAACCTGCAATTGTTGGCTATTTGACCTTGTGACTTAGCTTACAAACCTTCTTCTTCTACAGAACAACAGACCACAGATGAAGGTGGAACTGGTGGTATTGATTTCTAAAATGTTCTTTTTCTGTTGTTTCTCACTCACTACTAACCTTTTAAACTTGAGTTCTTGTTTCTCCGAAACTAGGGAAAACCATCTTCTTATAGATCTTTTCCTGGATCTTGGCCAGCTGTGCAACAAGTGTGATCCCTAAGTAGAAAGCAACCCTCTACGTTTTTAACTATCCCTCCCAGCTAATTAAACTAAAGCTTAAGTCATGGCATCCTGAGGCAATTTTCAGGGAAAGGATATGTGCGTTTGGGTTTTTAAAGATGACTGGATACGGCATGGGGGAGGAGAAGAGAAATTCTTAGTGGTATGTATTTGAATATAAATTAGTTCAGTAGTCTGAGGGCTTTTTCTTTTTTTAAGGGCAATTTCGAACCCTTTCATTGTTTCCTAATTTGCAAAAAATACATGGTAGGGCTTGGTTTGTTTTCTTTTTGCTTTGTTTTACCAGCAATTGAAGTAACGTTTGCAAAATCAAATGATACTTTGCTGACACTTTGTGAAAGGGAATGGGTCCTTTGTGCAGTTTGATACTCTTTCCATGAAGGGTTTTGCAAAATCAGATCTGTCCAATTATCTAAACATAATTCTATATATTAAATGTGTTTTCTTTGGATTTCTGGCACTTTCCAGTGCACAGACTGAGCCATTCATAGAAATGCTTTGGATCACTAATATATTTGTCAAGGCTATATGTTTAATAAGCAAAATTATTTCTTGTAGCTAGTTTAAGATGATAGCTCTCAGCTGAGGCCCAGCTAAATCTGAATTCTGAAAATCTGTGCATGCTCACAGCATTACTAATTCAATACAGCTGTCTCGTAATGCTGACAATATGAGACTTGAAAATGCAATGAAAGTCTGACTGAGTACGATTTAACTACTGTGGCTTATTCTGGCAACGCAGCAGAAGCATGTGTATTTTATTTAACTTCTCTCTTCCCTTTCTCTGCACAGCATGAATCCCTAATTTTCTCCAAAATTAGCCAGTGTGACTGGATTGGTTTACCTGTTTAACATGTGTTTCTTGGATACATATATAAATCCAATTACTGTATTCCACATTACCAAATGTCATTTAACCTTGAAACTAGGAAATCACGTTTGCCTTAAAAGTTTAGGATAGCGCTATTTTTTTCCTCCTCTATTCCTTTCTACCTTATCTAATTTTAAAGCTAAACTTTATAACAAACATAAAATAATGTCCTTTGCTCTCTCCTCATTTATGCAAGGAAATGAGTCTTGTCTGTCCTTTTGATCGTGGAGGAAGACTTGAACCATACTGCTGCTGAAGCACATTAAAAATAAAGTGTCTTTCAACAAACGTGCTCCTGATGTAAAAATAGGCACTTAAGCTGTACTTTATGCATCATAAAGTAACAACAGGAGGAACAGATAAGTTCAGCTACTGTCGATCAATTTGAATAACTTGGCACCAATTTTGAAAAAAAAGACTGTGGAGATAAACAGATAATGCAGTGTTTGACCAAGACACTTGTGCATCCACACTGTTTTAAATTTGTGTTCATCTTTACGTTGAGGTATCAACCTTCCTGTCTTACCTGTGCTGGATAATATGGAATTGTGATTGGATTAATGCTTCTCATATTTATTTCCATTTCAGGATCGTCCTTAGCTTGTTAACTTTCTGGAAGTTCCTCACTTAATTGTTGTTTAAAATCTACACAAACCATGTAGGATGCCTAAGTCTAGCCAGCTCTCTAAAAAAATCCTTATTTGGTCCCTTTCACCTTATATTTGCATAATTGCTGGAAAGACAACAATTACTTTTGGATTTCTGAAAAATGACACCATATGAGCTCTGCTACATTATGTCATCGTGGCCGATTAGTGCACCTTCTCTAACAGCACATCTAGAGCAAGTTTCAGTACAATATTATTTTTCCACCATCAGTTTCTGTGGCAGATTTGGGATTAAAGGCTCCATTTCTTAAAATGAAAACCATGGGGGGAAACAGATTTCAAATATTCTTTACATTATTTTAGGACTAAAGGCTTGCTTGTCTGTTGTATTGCTGTGCAAAAAAATATAAAGTCGGACATGTTCTTCCATGAACTGCGGTGTCAACAGTAATATTTAGGAACATTGACTGGTAAAGCAGCATTTGTGGGTGATAGAGGTAGTGTGGTCTGGAAAGTAAACCCTGTGTAACTGAACATTTCACCAACCATCAGCCATTCTGCATTATGTACAGAATGTGATTCATTGAGACTGCACCAAGTACCCCACTGATGGCCTGAAATTTAAAAATTGATGAAAGCCCGAGAGTCAAATGTTACATTAATGACATAGCTGTCAGTGCTAAGATGAAACAGGCGGGGTGTGGGTCTTCCAAGAGAAATGGCAAGGCTCTGTAATAAAGCGTCCTTAATGACAGAGTCCTTGTAAATGAGGGAGGTTTAGTGATGACTGCTGAGCAAAACTAGACGTTCAGGTACATCTGTGCTGGAGACATGTGCTATTAGAATAGAAATTGGGCTGCCAGAGTCTATCCTTTCTAAATAAAGAGCTTCCTTGTCCTAGTAGAAATTTGGAAGGAACTAAGAGACAGATAATCTTATTTTATTTAGCCTAATTTTATCCAGCCTCAGATAGGCAGTGCTCCAGCACCCTCTCTCAGTGAAAATCAGAAGCTGGGTTGAGAGCTGCTCTCTCTAATAACGATTTTCTTAAGATGCTGTGTTTCCCAGCTCCTTGCCTAATTGCAAGCCTTGCTGCATGGCAGTTGTACGCTTTATTTGGCTTTGCTGCTACAGTTTGTTTTCCCCCTTCCATTAAACACAATACATATGTTTGGTATTGCGTGGGACTATGCTATATGCTTCTTCCATTTAGAATTCCTTGATATAAGTAATTTAACTTTTCCCCCCAAAATACGGAAGAGTATTTTACCTATGTAAAATAGTAATTTACCTATGTAACCAGACTACCTTACTCGAGAATATCCTGTCTGTCTTCTAAATCTTTTTTCCTAGTGAATTATCCAAAGCTTTCAGAAGCTATCTTGTGGTTGAGGAAGGGAAAAGTTGAGGCCATCTGATCATATATTTACAAATGTATTGATCAAAAAAGCATTGACTTCTTAGGATCTTAAAATTTTCTGGAAAAAGAAAACTCAAATATCTGTATGAATACTCTTTACCAATTAGATTTTTTCAGTCAAGGCATCAGTTGGAATATTAACTCATGCCATCACCACTGCTCTCTGTTTCCCTGTAAAATAGAACTTCATACTTGGTTTTTGTTTGAACAGTCATATATAGACTGTCATTTTTTCTTTTGAATCTTCTAGTAGAAGTTTCATCCCTTGTCTCTTTACTGAACGGCACAGCCCATCTCCAGAACTTGTAAATTTGCTGGAAAAGAATTACTTTGCTCAGTGTAGTTTTCCTCAAGGCAAGATTTAATTTTCTGCCTTCTGGGTCTGAGTAGGTGGTGGACCAAATCTCAGATTTCATGCAAGTGCTAATTTGAACGAAGAGAAATTTGTATGAAGCATCTACACAATGTTTGGAGGCCTTTGACTCGCACGCTTGAGCTCTGGCAGGAGCCAGGCTTTCTTTTTAAGAGCAGACGCTAGAGGGTAGTCTTTTCCTTTGAAAACACCCAAATACATGAATTATGAGTTTCCTGATTTTCGTATATAAAACCTCTCAAGGCTGTTTTAGTTATCCCAGTACTCTGGCTTCATTCACAAAATGCCATTTTTTTTATTATGTTGGGAAAGTATCTGCTAAGCTCAGATCTTCATTTCTTAACTGTATTCAATTGATCCCCTTTTCTCCCTCTTACCCCGTGAGGACTTTGTTCTTGTCCACTGTGACAAGAGCTTGCCACTTTTGTAGCTTCCACTCCAAAATCTGGTTTTCACTTGACGAGGTTTTGCGGGAGGCCCCTGGCTCAAGAAGCCTGGGATGGGTCCATGTGTCAAAAGTACAATGCAGAGGCAGGGCTGTCCATAGGAATCCTTATGTCCTGGCTCTTGCTATAAGGAGCTGCTATAGCGTGCTGGCCAAAGGGAAAAGATGCTGCCTCTGTGGTGAGCTGCTTTTTCCTTTGATGCTTATGCACTAATGAGTTCACGTTAATCATCTTTGTTGTCCAATATGCCAGCAAAATCGATTACTTGTGTTTGATGTATAGAATTTCTTGTGTTTATTATGCTAGTCCGCATTACTTTGTGTGCGTTACTGTTTTCTGCTTATTGAGTTTCCATAGCAACAGGTACATGCTTTTCCAAGGCTTTCACACTCTGGAGTAGTGTTCATCCTGAAAGTACATTATTTGAAATTAAGAAGTGGGTATTTATGTGGTTTTGTAGTAAACTTGAAATTTTTCCATGTGAGATGTGATTTTTATGTGTGTGTATATATATGTGTGTGTGTGTACACATACAAAAAAAATAATTAATGCCTCTTGTGGCAATTTTTTGTCAGAAGAGTTGCAAAATTGATAGGAAACATGAACTTAAGGACTAGCTTTTTGAAAAAAAATTGGAAATTTCTAAAATAGTCAGAGCAACCCTTGGGAAGTAATCGGAAATAGGAGTGCTTTCTTGCCTTTCTTCAGGACTTGCTTTTATCCCTCCAAAAGCATTTGTTTTGGTTTGGTTTTGTTAACTGGTGATTGAAAAACTGTTTTGACATACCTATGTGAAGAAATTATTGTTACTCAGGTTTTGTTGTTACTTTCTCTGTCTTGCCAGTCTGTTAACAACATACAACCTCAGTAACTTTTGTCTTTACATGTTAGGGGCACAGGGTTTCAAAATCACCTGTTTGCATACATACGCCTAGAATCTCGGCATCACTCCACTAAGCTAAATGCCTTTTCTGTGCACATTACAACTGGTGCTAATTGTATTGAGTCTGTTCAAAGGGGAAAATATTATATCTCTGATTCTCATTAAGCAAAACTGGAAATAGCTTTCAGGATGTAATACTTCCAAAGTTAGCTCACAGCAATGTGTGAAAGGTTCTTCCTCAGGTATGAAGATGAATTCTAAATGTAAGCGCTTCTTTACACAGCCAGCAAGCGGTCCACCTCCACAGCAAACCTCAAACAGACAGAAGCTGTCATGAATAAACGGTTATCATCGTCTGCAGCACTTTTAAACGCTTCTGATCGAAGTAAGTGTCTGCTGATAGCAGGTGTACTGCTTAACTGTTATTTGGGGAGGAGACAGGAGGTGGAATGATACTCCTTTTCCTCCCTTGCTCTGTAACTCTCTTCATATTTTGATCTCAAATGCATTTCATGCAATTTGTTAATCCAGCTTGACTGTTCAGGGCTTTGACCCAGTTGATGTGATCTCTGTTAGAGGAGAAGAGTAACGGTAAAGATTGCTGTTTTTTATTTTTTATTTCTGTAATTGTTTTACTAAAGTAAAATCTTGGTGAATGATTGATTCACAGATCATTTCACATCATCTTTAGGGGTTTGCATGCCTTAAATCACACCCTAAAATTTCAGCAAAATAGAAATAGTACAAAAATAAAGTTTGCCTTGTTCTGTTAGACAGCTTCAGTCATTTGATTGCCTGTGGGAAGGAAAAAATCAACTTAGTTTTAACATCTTTCTGTTGTGCAAGTCCTGTACTCCATAAACACACACTTTCTTTATAATATTAGAATTCTACTTTTAACGAAATGGAGAAGGATGCATGAAAAACTGGCACCTGTGGGAGGAGATTGTTTTGTTTTGACCTGGAGTTCTAGCATGATTACAGCCATAGCGTGCAGCTCTGACAGCATTTCCTAGCCCGATAAATTAGTGTAATCTTGATACTGATACTCAAATTACGCATTTCTTAAACTGTTAGTGCACGCCACTGCTCGCAATCATTCTGGGTTACTTACTGTGCCAATGACTATCAAGGAATAGAAATGGCCTGGAAGCCAACTATTTATTTTATTTTATTTTTTTAAGGCTTTCTGAGAGTGTTTGCGCTCTAGAGATCGTCTACCAATTTCTGTGGCTTCCAGTCTCATTTTGAATTGCAGCTTTGGGGTGGATGAAGCTCCTGACTGCAGCGTGTCATGTGTAAAATGTGCACCACCCAACTAGTCTTAACAGGGAGGCAGAGGATGGGATAGATCTCTGGTTTTCTCCACTCTCTGGTAAACCTCTATGTGCGAGTCCTCTCTCTGCCTCCTCCCCGCTGTCCCGTCCTGATACATGTAAGCTACTCAGAGAGAGGAAATGTGAAACAGACCTTACAGAACGTTACTTCAAGGTCATTCTGTAAACCATGGCAATCTGCGGTGTCCGAATAAAAAAAAAAAAAAAAAAAAAAAAAACAAAGAATTTGCCTAAATTACTTTTTTAAAAAAAA